AGCGCCCGGCGTATACCCTTCGCAGCGTCCTCCAACAACCGTTCGCACAGCATCGGAACCCTCCGTCTGCGAGCGCCGGCGGTTCGCCGTCGTGGGGATTATGTTCGCGGCAGTTCATGTTCGCGGTGTTTCATGTTCGCCGCAGGAGTTCATAAAATGCTCCCATTCAAGTCGCGACGATAAATCGTCGGCGCTCGCAGACTGCCAGTAGGCTCCAGAAAGGTTGCGATGCTGCGCGGGCGGTCGCTGACAGGCCCTGCTGCCTAGGTATACGCCGAGCACAGGAACGTTTTCGCCGGCGTTCGCAGGACAAAGATTCTCAACGACAAAGCAGCGCCCTGCATCATCAGCAAGTTAACGCTGCTCGAGAGTCCCACACTCACATTTTATCAGAGTGAGGCGTAGTCGTCTCTCACTTCGCGATTGCTGCGTCGTTGCTCTGACCAAACAGTTGACAGTTCTCTCGAGACTTCATGAGCGTTAAATCGACGCCTCTATAGCGCGATAGAGTGTCGTGACAACAAAAAAGCTTACCCCGGCAGGGGCGTAAGCAGCGGTGCAATGTCCGTCAACGCCCATGTCGAGAACGGTGAAATATACACAAATAACAGCCGAAAAAAAAATTAGTATCGTTAGGCACGCGCTAGCCTAGGTGCGTCCTATTATCTCTCTGTTCTGCGAATTCAACGAATCAGCAAGCGCTATGGCTAATTTTTCTTTTTTTTCTTCTTTAAATTATGAGACATTAAAGTCATTGGAGCTTCTTGGAGCACACATCCCCACCATGTGTCATCATGGTGCTCAGAGATTGTAATTGATGGCAGTGATATAGACTGAACTCACGGATGAAAAACGTATTACGGCACAAATTTCTTAAACCACGCAATCACAAAATGCCACAACGATGCAAAGATTCCCGAAATTGAAGTTTAAAAATGCGAACTTAACAGTGTACACATAATTCAAAAGTGCTTGGTAAAAAAAATAAATAAATATATATATATATATATATATATATATATATATATATATATATATATATATATATATATATATATATATATATATATATATATATATATATATTTTTTTTTTTTTTTTTACCAAGCACTTTGTTTCCGTGCGAAATGTCGCCGTGTTGTCTGAAGACAGGTGGCTTCGCTGCGTTTCCATAGGAGCTAAGCCTTTTTCTTTCTTTACTTTTTCCTCAGGTAAGTTTGCTCTTTGCAAATTTTACAAAAAAAATGGACCATCTGTGGGCAACGCTGCACAAAGTCGTAGCGCGATAGGTGAAGAAACCGAATTTTGCGGTCGATTTAAAGAGCCTGGCCTCTCCTTGAATCACCCTGTATACACCTTTCCAAGAAACACTTGACCCCAGGGGCAGCAAGCCGTTTTCGAGCCCGTTCACAGGGCTAGGCTCTCACCGGCGTCCCTGTTAACCCTAACCGAGTGGACTGTGATTTCGGTAGGCGCAGTTTCAAACACTGCTGGCGCCTAAATTCTGGTCTTTTCCCGCTGTATTTTGTGTTTCATGGTGCATGTATTTTTCCGAGGTCATTGAGAAAGCATTGTACCACATTAAAAAAAAAAAGACCTATAAACTATTTTTGTTGGGTACGCGCGCGAGAGAACGAATGCGACTGGAATGTATAGTTGTAGTTCTCTGTTGTCTTTTACAATAAGTCTTGACGGCGCCGCGCGATTCGCCGCATGTCAAACGACAAAGCGCTTAGCTGTCGAAAATAATTTACTATAGAAGATAGCCGAAAGGCATGCATTTTCAAGCTCAAAAATAACGTGTTTACCGATGGACAGGACACGGTCATTCAATTTAGCAAGTGTTAACGTTCGAACAATGCATTGTACGTACCACACGATGCAGCGTTATCTGAAAATAATTTATTTGAGAAAGATCTCAAATAACACAGTCACAGTCGACGACAGTCACATCTTGACGATCGAACGGAATCCAAGATAACTTCGTTTTGGGGCACGTTTTGCGGAGAGCTTCCTTTTTTCACAACAGCACAAAGGCAAAGAAGCGAACGCGACTGACCTGTTTCCTACCCCAGCCCGGAAAACTATGTTTGGAGATGACTGCGGATTCTACGCGGATTATCTCTGGGAGGGGGGAGAGCAATGCTCGGAAAATCGCGTCGAGGGCCGTTCGTGAATGTCGAGCAGAAAAGCTTGAATGGGAGGCACTTACCAACCTTATTTCTCACAATGGAAGATAACACAGAAAGGGTACGCAGCACGCATAAAAAATTAAGTGGAAACTTTCGGGAGGTGCCAGAAAACGTCAAATACAAAACCGCAAAAACGTAGAGAGAGAACCGCTCTGAGCGGGTCTTTACAGTCCAAGAGAGTGGCAAAAAATTTCTAGCTGATAGAGGGCGCGAGAGTCGCACCAGCCGCACCAGTATCATAACATGGCGGCGGCCTAGGTGCGTTTTTTGGAAAGGTGTATACATAGTCAGAGTTCTGGGGTCTTTTCGGCTGTATACCGCCGAGTAGACCCCAGATGAGTGAGAAAGCCAAGATCTGACGTCTTTTCCAAGAACTGTCGCAAGAGCTAATCTCTATTGTAGCTCCCCAATTTCCCTCCACCGTGCCCAACTTCGCATCCAAATAACAAATATATGAGGAGCTTGTCGAAGCACAAATTCTCAAGAAGCCTTCGGAACAACTTCCTGCAGTGCATCTTGGATCACTCGCCAACACGACAGTGGCGAGTGAACGACTCCCTAAAATGTATCTTGGATCGTTCACCGACACTGTAATGTCGGTGAGTGATCCAAGATACGCTTCAGGGAGTTGTTCAAAAGTTTTTTTTTACAGCGGAGCTGTTAAGGGCTAGTTTTCCCAGGATCGTCCGCCCCCGCAAAAAAATGTCGACACAAAACTCTGGTTGCCGCCGTCGCTCATAGATGGCGGTAGCTGTACAGTGTTGTGTTTGCCGGTTGTCCGCTTTCCGCCGTCGCTCATAGATGGCGTAGCCTATCAGCCTTTTTACTCTGGCTTGCCGACTTGCGGCCGGCCATTGCTTCATTACCACCATAGTAGAGCTTCGCCGGTCTTCCTTCTTCACCAAATTGGAAAGGCACAATTTTTTTAAATTAATTATTTGTGCTTTGACATGCTCCTTAAATTTTCGTTATTCAGATGCGAGCTTGAATACTGTGGAGGGAGCTCCTCGAGCATAATAAGCCAGATCCAGGTTGAAAGGCTATAACCTATCAACCTTGATCTGCCACATTATAATCGAGGAGCTCCAATCCTTCCTTGGACGCCTATATGAGTCATTCCCGCTTCCTGAGTCATCCAGTGAGCTCCAAGACATCCATTCCACTAATCGTGACCAACTCGGTACTGAATTAGATCCTTGACACGCATTCCTCCCAAGAACGCTGTGAGCCCACCAAAAATTCCCAACTCCATACGGTGCATCACAAAGGCAAACTACTCAAGCTCATCGCCGTAGTGACATTTGGAGAACTGGCGACAACCTACTCGCATGTTTTTACTGCCATACTGCTGAACACATCCTCGGATATTGCCGACGCCGCATTGATGACACTAATGCCCGCGACATCACAGCTTGTCGAAACAGGTGCAACAGCAACTCCGAGGATCACCATTTCTTCTACGACCACCTTCGCGTTTAAAACTCTGCTTTATGCCACTTCCCGATAATTCACAAACCCTGTATTAATAGCACAAATGATAGACACCTTGTTCATGGCCGTTCGTCAACCCCTATAGTGCATACTTTATCTCGCCGTGGTCGATCACTACCCGTTGCCGCTTGGTTTACCCTTTATTTGACACCCTCCTTTCCACCCCAAAGCAGTTTAACAAAAAATTAAAGACGTTTACAATTCTCTGTAATGCCGTATCAGAGCGCAGCTCTTGGGGAGGAGGAGGGTAGTGTACGGAGGGGACGGTATGCCCCTCCGTACCCTCCTCAGACACGGCACTCCCCGGTCTATCATCGCGGATCGCGGTACATCATTTGTTGCAAACCTACTTTAGGACGTCTTCCGCCTTGCTAGCACAATTCGCGACAATTCTATTGCCTATCCTCCCCAAAGAAATCGACTGGCAGAACTCTTTAATCATACAGATGATTTCCATGCATGGTTGCAAATGACCACGACAATTGGAACATCAATTTGCTTTACATTACATCCCATCAATTCATCTACAGTTTTACAGTATTATCTACTATAAGTAAGCTAAAAATACACTATAAGTATAATTTGCGAAGCGCATCATGAAAGTACAAAGAAAGTATACATTTAGTGTGTTTCTTTTTCCCCAGAAAGAGCTGGTTCAGTGCAAGTTCTGTACCACAAAACGTTGTTCTTTGTTTAGCCAATTCTCCGCGCTCAATTTCACTTTGTTTACGTTGAAATGTACGTTAACACATCTTAAACATCTATTAAATGCAACGTAGAGGTAGCCCAATCCGACAAGGAAAGGGAGCGTTTTGGAAGCTTTGAGAGCGACAGATACGCTCCGAGAAAACATTTACGGTCTTTATCTTTTCAAGGAGGCAACTATTTTACTCAAAGATCTACAGTCACTTATAGCTTTAAGACGTACCATATTTTAATATTTACCAAATGCGCGAGTGTGCTTGAAATCTTGCTTACTCAAAAAACAGGTTGGTTCGCGAATCTTCAATGCATCTCTCTTCTGGAATCGGCTAAAGGGGGGGGGGGGGGGGGGGAGGGAGGGGGTGATTGTTTCCTTAAACATTTATACTATGTCAAGGAAAGGAGGAAAAAAATTACACACGCGCACCCCTTTCCCCTAATTGCAGCGAGTTTATTTAATGTATAACCGTCCATAATTTCACGGACCTTATTTGCTTGCAATCATTTGCAATCATTCGAAATGTACTATTAGACCTACATACTTGCCTAATGTTGACCCGTGAAGGTAGTTAAACAAGTTTAAATTACTCAACCCGTTTACCACTTTGCACTTACCGTTTTTAATCCATTCAATAGTACTTTCTACGCCTCGTACGTCTTTATGAATAAGAGCTGTTCCGGTGTAGGTCTCACTGAAATGTTATGTATTGTTAGGGTTTTGGGATACCTTGGAAATCTTTAGCAGCATTTAACGCTCTTCTACTCACTTTACTGTGAATGATGCATTATACTTTGTAACTTCATAATGAATTGCGATCTTAGGAAACACCGCTGTTACATTTATAGAAACACAATCGTATGGAGGATGACTTGTTCCAAGCATGAGGTAGTATACTCCTTCATTTCCAATGGCCTGCAATAATAAGAATAATAAATTAAAATTTGCGCAGTATTTTGTTTTTAATTAGGCCTGTACGTTTAGTGCGTTGTGCGTTGGCTGCTTGTGAGTTGCAGATCGAATTGGGACATGAAACATGATATTTGCGTATTTCTTCCTGAAAAATATAGTACTATGAACTGGTTAAAATGCGATATATGTCGGATCCAGTATTTGTTTTTGAATAACCTAGAAGTGCCGTGTATTACGTGCGTGTTCGCCGTGTATGGCGAACACGACCTATTGAGCCCAAACAACGACAGATGCAACCGGAGACAAGAGAAGGGGGGGGGGGGGGGGGGAGAGAGATAGAGCCGGGGTGGTGAACCAAGGAGTAGCACGGGACGCCTGGAAGCAACACACTGGGCGCGGTAACAGACCAAAAAAGAAGCTTTTAACACCAACCGGTTGTATCCTAAACAGTTAAGATATATCTTTGCATTATTCATGGGCGTACCAACCCAGGGGGGGGGGGGGGGGCAAGGCATGTGTTTATTTGCCCCCCCCCCCCCCCCCCTCCCCTGAAACGGTCGCCACTGGGCAGGGCAAACACTGGCCGGCGGCGCCCAAAACATACTAAGGGCACCGCCGCCTGACCCGCGCGGGCATATTTTTAACGCGCAAGAAATACTAACCCTAGCAACGGCGCTCACGCCGGATTGGCTGGTTCGTGGAGATAGGCGCTGCCGCCGTCAGCATAGGCAGCGGATATAATGCGAGTTTCCGAAGCGGTAGCGTAACTTAGTGATAAGATGTCTGTCTCATACGTATCAGACCCGGGTTCTATCCATGGTGTGGGCTTATTTCTTTTATTTTTTTTCCTCGAACATCTTGTTTTGTCAAGGCATGTTGGCAATACTTACGACTTTTTTTTTTTTTTTTTTTTTTTTTTTACGATTAACACTAAAAAAAAACTATTGTTGTTGACGAAACATCGTTGAACTAAATGGTATGGGACTCTACTCTTGGAACTGCATGGGGGACAGCGGGGCTTAGGTTGCCGACTGGGGGGGGGGGGGGGGTGCTAAGCGGGTTAGTACTTTTGTAATTAGCAGCCACACACTGTCGCCGCGGAGAACGTGGGCGCGGGGGGTGGGTTAACGCGCTACGAGTGATACACGTGCCGTCCCGAATCCGAAATTTAAGCTCCCGCGCGTTGCCAAGCAGCCAATCTGGCGTGAGCGTCGTTGCTAGGGTGTCTATCGCCTGCGCCGTAAAAGGAGCCAGTGACCAAAGCGCCCGGGTGCGCATACACAATTGGCTCTCTCCCCCTCCCTCTCTTTTACAACGCCTACACACACACACGCCGTAAAAGTTAGTGATGGACCGAATCTGCCGAACTTCAGATTCGTCAAAGTTCCGCACATGCCGAAAGTTTGAAGGAAAGTTCGGCAAAGATTCGGCAAAAATTTGGCGAATGTCTGCGCACGCGCACGAACGCGACGGGGCCATGGATCGCAAATGGACGCCGCGCAATCGCGCGGTTACCATTGCACAGTTTTAGTACGACCAGCGGTTACGGCGAGGTGTGGAGTAGGCGACAAGGTAGCTGTGCGTTTGTGAGCTTTTGCGAGTGTGGTTCTCTTCAATATTTTCTGCCTCGAGAACAGAAGATAGACCAGTAATTTACGCAGTCCACTGCGCGAGTGACAAATGACACGGTGCATTCTGGATAACGTGATTTTCATTTGACCTTTCCATTGATGCAACGAGGTAGTTGAACCATTGAATGACAGCTGACAATTACGCTCAGTTTGCGCAGCACACTGCCGTCAAACGGGGGCAGAGTCACGAGAGCTTGCCAGAATGTATGGGATGCAGCTGGCATCCTCGTCATAATGTGACACATGTTTCCTCCCTTATTTTCTTTCCTTTTTACGTACTTTCTGTAGTTTCTATATTCTGTACATTTATTTGTTTGTTTTGTTTTTTTCTTATATGGTGGCGGGCTGGCAGCAGACATGTACAAGTTACTAAAAATAATTAAGTTAAGTTAGTGCGTATTAGCCTCAAAAGTAAATTGAGTAGAGTAGAATTTACTCAAATGGAAAGTAATTCAGTAAAATACTAATTACCGTAAAAAAGTTGTGAATTCCTTTTGAAGTTACCTTTATCTTTTTTTTATGCTAACAAGGAAGTACTTACATAGGTTTTGATGCGTTCGCAAAATCCTGCTAGCCGAATATCAAGCGGCTTGTGTTTTCACGGAAACGCTTTAATAGCTGGTTCTACTTCTGCATGCCTAATTGTTGTGTACTTCTTTTTTGTCAAGGATGTACTGCGAATGTATCATTTCACCTTTGAGGTTTAGCACTGCCTGAGCTTGATTATACAGAGAGTGTTTGATGGCTTACAGTGTTGCGTAAAGCACGTCTAAAAACTACTTGGAAGTACAAAGTAAATGAGAGGTTATGTACTTCAAGTAAAGTAGTAAGTACACTGGGTACAATGTACTTGAAGTGAAGTACTAAAAATACGATGCACTTCCCAAGTAAAGTAAAACACACTCTTTCAGAATGCCCTTTCATCCCTATACAGCGTTTTTTTTTTTTTTTTTTTTTTTTAACTGACCGGTATGGAGGAGGAATCGGAGGTGCATCAGTTTATTTTGTTTTGTTTTTGGAAATGGCGGCAACTAATACGCCATAGAGTAATTATTTTTTTCTCGCTGACGAACCATTTAACGCAATCAACTTATAAGGCACTTATTTGTATCGGTCTTATAGCCACCCTTTCTTCACTCAGAGAAATGACCAGATGACGTCTCGAAAGACAGCACGAGCTATACAGGAGCACCAGATTAACTTCAGGGCGGGTGCTGCACTTCGTTACTTCCTTTGATTGAGAATGTAGTGTGTATACCTCCTGTAGTGGGCAAGAATTCCTACATTGGGGAGAAGCGGGGACAAGCCCTTTCTTCAAATGCGTCATGCCTCCTTGAGCTTCGGGATACAAAGAAACGCCAGCCTCCGCCGCTAATTCCCACAGTTACTCGGCATTTCTTGCGTCGTGTCTGTTCGCTCCCCGCGCCTCGTAGCAGCGTTGTTGCAGTGGGGGGCTCGTTAAAATTTTGGGGGTTTCGGACTATCCAAATAACTTTCTTCCTCCCCCCCCCCCTTTTTCTACGCCACATGCTTGCCCGGGCCCTCTCCAAATATCAGCTGATCTGCCGACATCTTATCTCTGTTGATAGGCAAAACAACCACTAAAATTCGAAAGTAATTTGTAATTTGAGTAGAAGTCACTCGAAAAAGTAATTAAAGTAAACTACTGATTATCAGAATAGAAATGTAATTGAAAGTTACTAAACTACACAGAAAAGTAGTTAAACTACAGTAACTTGAGTAAAGTAGTTGAACTACGTACAAGTCTTGCTGGCAGGCGCTCTGCGTAATGGTTTTCACCATCTGCCTAGCCCCGCACACCACCACAATGGAATTCCAGTATGTGAAAATAAAATTATTATTATTACTATTATTATTATTATTAAAACACAAAACTATCATGTTCGACGTTGCACATCCAACATTCATAACTCTCTCCATCTTGCTAAACGTCCATGTGTGTCCTAACACCAGAAACCGGAATTTTAAATGTTAAAAAAGGCACGTTGCGAATATGAAACGCACAGATTTCATGCAAATCTCATGTCAAGTGACTCAAATCGAAAAGCATGCACATTTACAATATTGCTATTTCTTCTGATGAAGGCTCAGCAACCGTTGCATTCGTTTTCGCGCACAAAACGGTGGCTCCCAGAGAAAGTAAGAACGCAGTATATGCCTTTATTTTAACAATGTAAACACACTGGCAGGACTGATGAAGCCTCAAAATCAAAACTCTCGTAGCGTGATTCGTGACTGCGCCGGCTACTACCCAACCTCGTTGTCACGCCACTCTCTGCAAGCAAACACTAAAATTGCCAGTAAACACACAAAAGCGACATCGATACAATTATCTTGTAGAATATCACCTAATTTAGTCATAACTGTGTCAATAGGCACAATATGTTGTATTTATGCTAAGAAAAAGAAAAACCTTTTTTCGTCAGAAAAATGTAAAGATCAATGTTAAGTCTGTTAACAGTGTATTTTTGACAAATCATTGACAAATATTTAGAAAAAAATTAGCAAAAGTTGCGCCGAATTTTCGATTCGGAAAAAGTTCGGCCCATCGCTAGTAAAAATATGCGACCCAGGGGGGGGGGGGGGGGGGGGGAGGGGAAGGGGGGAGGGGGAGGGATGGTCTGGTTTGCCCCCCCCCCCCCCTCAAAAACAAGTTGGTACGCCACTGGCATTATTCCAAATTAACCGGTACATCACAATGGCGACGAAGATAGGAGTCATGCGACGAAGACAAATATAAACAACTGAGCGACATAGGAACAACGGAGACAGCGATAACGTTAATGACGCCCATCTCAAAACTAAAGAATGCCTCGCATCGGGCAAATTAAAGAGTTAGATCAGAAATCGGAATCATGGCCTTCGTACGTCGAAAAGATCGATGTCTTCTTCCTTGCGAACGACATTCCGGGTTTAAAGCGAGCCGATGTTCTTCTCTCTATCGTCGGACGAGAAATGTGCGGATTAATACGGAACCTGGCGGCACCTGTCAAACCAAGCATCAAGACGTACGTACAGATCGTTCAACTAGCGCAGAACCACATCGACCCGACACCCAATGGAGCGATTGAAGGGTACGAATTCCAAAACCGGAAGCAGCTGGAATCCGAAACTATCGCTGACTATAGCTGCGCTCAAACAGCTTTCACTGCAAAGCAGCTTCGGTGTTTCCCTCAAAGACCGACTTGAAGACAAGCTCATTGACGGCATTAAGGACGGAAACATTCTCGAAAAGCTGCTGGCTGAACCGACGCTGACATTCAAGGCAGCGGTGGATCTTTCCATTTCGATGAAAGTAGCCATGAAGGATGGGAAGGAAATAAGGAGCGAGACCGAACAAGGGCGGAAATA